CTTAAGTTTAGGATTGTGATTATCTCAACATTTCTGATCTGCAGGTCTTGGGAATTTACATATTCGACCAAAGCAAATAAATGTACAGGGCCAAGTGAGTGCTCAAACTAAAACATCTATTTCAAGGTCACCCTGAGGCTCTAACAGGGGTATACCTAGCATTTTTGACACTCAGAGAGAATAATTTTTTGACATCCTTCCTCCTCTAAATGATAAAATTGTTGTCAGTAGTATTCATAGAATAATAATGGATAATCAGGATTTTTCCAGTTTTATTGAGACATAACTGATACACAGTACTGCATAAGTTTGAGGTCTATAGCAGAATAATTTGATTTCCATGTATTGTGAAAATGATGACCACAGTAAGTTTCGTTAACATCTGTCATCTCACGTAGATACACCGAAAAGGAAGAAAACATTTTTTTCCCTTGTGATGAGAACTTTCAGGATTTACTCTGTTAACAACTTTCAAACATGCCATACAGCAGTGTTAACTAGAGTTGTTGCACATTACCTCCCTAGCACTTTTATTTGTCTTATAACTGGAAGTCTATACCTTTTGACTACCTTCATCCAATCACTGTTTCCCCCACTTCTCACTTATGATAACCACAAATCTGCTTTCTTTTTCTCTGAGTTTTGTTTTTTGTATTTTTAATTTCATATACAAGTGAGGCCATACAGTATTTGTTTTTCTCTGTCTGAATTATTTCACTTAGCATAATGCCCTCTAGGTCCATCCATATTGTCACAAATGGCAGGATTTCCTTCTTTCTCATAGCTGAAGAACATTCCATTCATTATATATATATAACCACCTTCTTTATTCATGCATCCCATACTTATACCTACCTGTGTCTGCACCTAATTATCTATCCATCCATCTATCTACCTACATACCTACCTACCTATTGTTTACCTTTTTTAGACTTCAAGAGGACTTGAAGCCAAAGATGTCTAGCTAATCCAATAGGCAATTAGTTTTGGCAGTTTATGTCCATCCAAAATATTGGTAGACTTGAGGCGAGTCAAGTACTGTCCTCTCCATCTTCTTTTATTTTTTCTTTCTTATTAGACAAAATACAATTATTTTTCATTGGTATATGCAAATGGCTAATTGATTTTCTTAAAAGTTCTTCATGTTGGTAAAGTCTTTATTGCCATTTGTTAATAGTTTGTTTCAACTTAAAAATACAAAGCAGCAACTAAAAATACAAAGTGCACCAGTGTACTTCAGCGAGTTCCTCACCGCCGGCGGGAGCAGGTCTGTGCCTTCGCATTCTCAGGGTAAAGGGATCAGGACGCAACGGTAGAGCTGTTCTTGTTAGTTTATTTAGGAATCATGAGGCCTCTTCTGTTCTCTTTGCTGGAATGCCTTCCCTTTATCGGGTCGATCAAGGCCTTGCTCTCCTGGGAAGCACTGGGGAAAGCTGGCCAGGCCTCCCCGTTCTTCCCTGACAAGGAGCTACACCCCTGCACCACTGGAGTTCGCTCTCCATATTGGCTTGCTTTGCCTTCCCAGTGCCTGGCTGTGCCCCTGACAAGGTTGGAAGCAGTAAGAACAGCCTTTTATTTTTCATCCTTACTGCTCTGGTAGGGGTTGTTCTGGCATTTCTCTGACTTAATAGTTTTGTGTGTTTGCTTCCTCCTGACAACTTGCAAACTTATTCGAAGGGTAACTGATTGCTTGTCAAGCGTGTAGGACTGTTCATCTTAAGGCCACATGGCTTGATTGTGGAAACGGAATCATCTGGACAAGAGTAAGACTGGAACGGCCTAGATGGCCAGCAATGGGGATGCTCTGCTGCTTAGGACTTGGTGCAGCCCTGAGCAAACCCTCCAACCTGGGCAGTTGGAGCCCACTTCTTGGCCTTGTGATTTAGGGGTTCTGTTCTGGCACCCCCTGGTCATCCATTCCTAACAGATGAATTATTTTGAAAAATAGGATGGGTTTCAAAGCCATGTTATTGACACTGCCATGGAAATGACTTTGTCACAGTAATGTAGCAATCCAATTCCCTGAGCTCTGCCAAAGCTCTTACTAACCATGGGCAGGGAGTGAAAGGTTAATTTTACAAGATGTCTATATTTACATGGATGAAGAGGAGAAGATGATTTTCTTTCTGAAAAATAAGTCTTTCTATACAGTTATCTCTAAACCAGGTTGCACAAACTACTACCTGATAATTCTTGACAATGTAAAAATTAATTCCTATTAGCTTTCCTGATGAGGGAGAGTAAATCAAGGGGTCTTCCCAGGACATAAAGTTTAGGAACAATATGAAGGCAGATGGCCCTGTCCTGTACTGCCTCCGATCAGATGCTAAATGAAAAGCTAAAAACACTATATCTAGTACAGTGTTGGTCCAAGTGTGGTCTAGGATATTAATATAGGTTATGAGGAAAAGGGGCCCCTAGTAAAAAAATACAGTGTATTCTGAGCTAAATAGCTCTTTCATGACAGGCCATCCAAGGACCTTCAGGGTGCTGATTTATATCATGACACACTGAAAGAAGAGTATAGTAGGACTTGCTCATGTTTACTTTACCATATGACATTTTATGGAAGGAGTTTCTGAACCTGAGTGTCCATGGACTAAATTCGGGGTATAAGCTTCATAGAATGTTACTTCTACTGATACTTCATTGGATCAGTTTGGGATGAAGGAGTCTCTCCCTATCATCTGTACATTTTCATTATTTTCCCATTAAAAAAATCTCCCTTTTAAAAATCTGTACCTTTGGCCCACACACCATTACCCATCTCTGTTATGTATATCTTAGATTACAGTCTAAGATGTCCCAAACAATATAAAAGAAGCACTGAGTGTTCTTGTATTCTAGCTTTAGCAGATCATTACTATCCCATTTCCTTATCTTCTAAATCATTTCTATTTTCTTTGTTGTCAAGATGAAGCCTTTTTATTGGAATGAACCATGAGAAATAGCAGATATTATAAAAGTGGCAATCTTATGTGGTTCACCCTAATACACTATTATTAAAGAATCATTATAGTTACCATGATACTTCATTTACCAAAAGAGGCTTAACCACTTCAAGAATTTGGTTTAATATTTTTATAAATAGCCTGGATGGTTGGCAGGAGAGATCACTTATGCTTGTAAATGATACCAAGTTGGCCGAGACTGATAATATCAGATAGGGCCAAATAGGAATGGAAAATAATAGAATCAGTTTGAAAAAGTAATGTGCACTGGATAAAATGTATTGCAGCTAGGGTTCATGGAAGGTTGTGTTTGTAAAATGGGATGATTAATCTGAAAATTGCAACAGAAATAGAAACATTGTCATGGACTGGGCCACGTGCAGAGGAGCTTTAAAGTCACAGACAACCACAGATTCAGGAGCTGCAGAACAGGCTCAAATGGGACCCTTCTGAGCCATCCATTCTGACAGGCCATCTGGACCTCATCATGTAAGGTTTGGCTGCTACACTGAATGACTGGTTGGCACCAGATCAATGATTCCATTCCACTGTGGGCTATAAATTTCAGGCATTAAGACACAATATTATTCTCTTGAGTAATATAAGAATATTATCCCTGCAACCCATTCAAATTCTGCTCACCTTTCAAGGTTCAGTTAAAGGAGAAGTCCAGAAAGTTTCTCCTCTCTTATCTCTACAGGTTTTAGGCTATACTGATCAACTTAACATAAGGTCTGATAAACATTTCGTGCTGAAGAGAACTCTTCTTAGTGTATCAGCCTCAACTTTGAAGTTTGTAACTTCTTCGAGGCAAGGGCCAAGGGTTGTATGTGTTTTAAATTTTGCTGGGACTAATATGTAGTCAGTAAAATCTTTAGTAGACTTGATCAAGCAGGACTTAATTAATGATCAGAACAATGCAAAAGAGCACAATGTTGACTGGAGAGCATGAAACGTTGAGGAATTTCTGTGGAGGTAGTTGAATGTAACTCTTTTCCTTTTGATTCTTGAGCCAAATTTCCTCATTAAGAAACAAAATATATATTTATTTTTCATGTCAGTCCTAAGGTGGTATTTAGTATATCCATAAAATTATATTACAAACTAAATTCAAATAAGTATGTGACCGATACTTAGTTTAGTGGAGTTTTTTGTAAGATCCATTACTCAGTTGGTAGTTTTATGTGTTATAAAATGTAGTTAAATGGAAGTAACTTTATTGGGCTTTTGTGCTGAATGTGGAGGTACTAGGTTTGTTTTTAGTGCTGAATTTTCTCATCATGTGGTTTATTAGACTTCTGGCTTATTATCTAGCCCAATTTCTCTATAAATTAACTCAATATTTTTACAATTATTTATCAATGTTGATTATCAAAATAAAATTCACATACTCCATTATACTGCATATAAATATCACTATTCCTCAATATATGTGTTTGAATATATTATAGCTCAATCCTGAACTAATGTCACCCTTAAGACTTTTAGTTCTGTTGGGGAGGAAGAGTTTTCCTGTATCCCTTGAGGTTCTAGCTGGTCTAAGAATCAGATTGACACAGAAAGATTAACAGGAGAAAAAACAAAACTTCTGTTACATACATAGGGAGGCCCTATCATGACATGGAGACCCCAAAAAATGAAGCAAGGCATGCAGATTTTATACATTTTAGACAAAGAAACATAAATCTGTGTGGAACCCACAGGACAAAGAAATGTAATTCCACACAGAATTTAGGCTGGGATAATAAATTAGTAAGAAGTCACAAGACTTCCATGCAGGCTTCTTTGGCCGTGAGTGCCCCCTCTTTGACGATAAGGATGGCTCTCTGCCTCCTGGTGCAGAGAGGGCATCTTTTCCAGAGAGACTGAGTTCCTGGTTTCAAGGTACAGGGGACAGAGGTGGGTCCGAGAATCCCTCCAGCTTCTGCTGTTTCTCCCGTCAGTTTAACTCAGTTACCAATATGCCACATTGCGGGGGCAGCCTGCCCTTGGGTCCTACTGTTACACTGTTCCCTTTGGAAATCTAACTGGATGCTGTTAAATTCTCAGGCCATGGTAAGTGTGACTGTGGCAAATGCACATGTGATGAAGGGTGGTCCGGGGATGCGTGCCAGTACCCAACCAACTGCAACCTGACCAGGAGAAAAAGCCACCAGATGTGCAAGAATTCTCAAGATATCATCTGCTCTAATGCCGGTAAGAAGCCTATCCTAGGATAATTCTTATAGGAAAAAAGTCAAATGTTGGTTTTTAATGGAAATATGTGTGTATCGAGAAAGTTGAACTTCTGAGTGAGACTGCTTTTGAGTGTGTTTTTTAGAAATGAAATTCAGATAAATCAATAGGAAAAATATGTCATCTTGCTGAGACTGGCAAGTTTGATCCTCTCCAGCTGTTCCAAATGCCTCCCACAAGCAGGATATTCCCTGGAAACGACACCCCAACAATGTTTTAGGCAAATTGTGAGCCATGATTTTGAATGCTGGATTAAATCTTTTAAAAAGGGTTTATTTAAACTGACTTAATTATTTTCGGTTACAGATCAAGGGTGCTTTGAATTCTACCTTAGCATCAAATAGAACCAAACCTTTTAAATTTGATAGACATTTCAGAGGCATTGTATGTGAAACTCATTGAAGAATAGAGTGACAGCAAGATTTTTTGTTTGGGCAAAATATTTTTATAGCTCATAAAATTCATTTAAAAATGTTTTGTAAGAAATTTACTGAGAGGCTCTTAAAATTAATCACTGAAACAATACAAAACAACACAACTGTGGTTTGGGTTTCAGTGGTAGTTAGCAAGTGTTACCTTAATTAAAGACTTTTTAACATTTGGGCTCTAGATGGATCCTCAGAAGTCAGCCTCTCTCAACTCTGAACTTGAGAATGGTCCTGTCCTGTAGTAGAGGCTCTGATGCAATGGTGTTGGGGTATGGTCTGGCCAATAGTGGTTTTTTAAGGTTATCTAGGTAATTCTTATGTGGTTCCAGGGGTTGTGAGCCATTGCTCTGCATATAAAGATGAGTATTTGGCAGCATGAATGAGTATCTTCCTCCCGAAGCTTGCCCTGTTGATAGGGTCCCTCTACAATCAGAGCTAGGATCTCTCCATAGTATTTGATTGAGATAAACTGCTGTGTAGACTAAGTGCAGCAACGGTTTTGCTAGTTGGTCTCAGGGTCATACTGAAAGCAAGGTGTAAGTGGATGGCTCAGGGACCATGACAGATGGCCTTGATCGGCAGGCTACTTTCTGTGGTCACTGACATTCTCCTCACCTCTCTCCAGCACTTAAATTTTTCCTTTCTTCTCAGTAGGATTTATGTACCTCCAGTTCATACCACCTACCTCTCCACTCCAAACATTCTCTTTCTCCCTCGTCTTCCACCATGAAATTCCATTTTGGTTCTTTGTTCTCCATTTTCAGATCTCTTTACTTATTATTTATTTTTCAAATCAAATCCAGGTGACTTTTTTTTTTCTTTTTAATAATACCCGACAACCAAATAGGTCAATGAAATAGGGTTAGCTAGGGATCCGATAATGTTTTGACATTAAGGAATCTAAATATGTGATTTGCCACATTAACATATATTAAGGAAGAAAATTTACAGAATTGTTTCAGTGGATAATAAAACATACTTGATGAGATAGAAAACATATTTCTAGGATTTTGGTACCTCTTGTGTTGTTAGCACTGAAACGGTACTTTTATGTAATCTGCCATCCATTTCGAGTGTCATCAGAGGACCAGCGGGACCCTCCATAGCAGCCCTCGCCCTGTACAGGACGCAGCCCGAGGGGTGTTAACCTTCGTTGTCATCTGTCTTCAGCATCCTTTAATCTGGACCATTTCCAGATAATACCCTTACAGCACTGGAGCTTTTGAAGAAACTTATCCCCAACCTTTTTGTTTTTAATAGAATGTAACTCATTTTGGGCTTGTCTGATGTGTCCTCATGCTTAGCTTCATGTTATACATTCTTCACTGAAACACTAGACGATTTTCTGTCCTCAGGGTGTGTCCTCTGGAGGTACCTCCTATCTGTCCGCTGTCACTGGTGAGGTTTGTTCTGATCGCCTTTTCAAGGTGCTGTCTGCAGTCTCAGCTCTGTGAATACCGAGTTTACTTTTGTAACTGTTAAAGAACTAAAATTTGATTGAAGATCTAATCAGCTTTAATAAGCAGTTCCTGAATCAGGCAGCATCCCTCGTACTGGCAGGGAGATGCTCCCTCTGAGGAGCTGCACAGAATAGAAGGTTTCATAGGTAGGAGTGGGGGGGCAAGGAAGTTACTAGCAAATGGAAGGAAAGGACTGTTCCCTGTTTCAGGCCAGGGCAGCTCCCTTTTGTGGGGAAGGAACAGCAGGGTTTTATCATGCAGTTTACTCACTCAGCGCCAATCAGGAAATTTCAGGTTCATTGTTAAAATGTCACATTTCTGAGATGGGTTGAAAATATAAGTATTGGTATGTGGTCCAGGGGCCAAATAACTCCTTTTTGGGCTTTTAGTTCTTTTTTTAAACAAATGAACAGTCTGTGGGGAAGCACTTTGAAATCATAAAATATCCCATCCCCACCAGGATCACCTCAGATTGGCCATCCACTCATGACTCCCGCCTGATTCAGTGATTACAATGATGTCTGCAGAATGACAATTCCCAAACCCCAACACCCCCTCCTTAGTTCCCCGTGGGCACTCGACATTCTACCACAAATCGGAGTCTTCTCTAATCTACCATTTGATATTTCATTTACTTAGCAATTTATTATCCATCTAGGATCACAATTCCTATTATTTCAATGGTTGATTATTCATTACTTTAATGACTTATTCTGGTGCTCAGATTATCCCCGATTCATCTACTGGAGCCCCTTCAAGTTGGCTTCTCTGCCCTGTGACATGCCCCCATTGCTTTGGTTTGTTTTAACAACTCTTTACTTTCCGGCAGAACAAAATGCGCTGGAGTCATATTGTACCTGCCCTACCATAGCTTTGGAATCTATCATTTCTCCAAAGAGCCCCTGATTCCTTGTAGTGAAGAATAGTATTAAAGTAAAAATTGTGAGCACCGGGGAGATTTATTTCTACTGGGGTGTACCAGCTTCTTGGCCTTTTCTGCTAGCAGGTTATAAATACACACATGAATATGTGCAGTAGTCTGTGCCTAACACACACGGCACGGACTACATACAAAATCTAAACCTACTCCAATGCTAAAATTAATTATTCCCACAACCAGACTAGTCCCCCTGACATGGCTATCAAACAAAAACATGGTATGAATTAACATCACATTATACAGCATATTAATCAGTTTAACATCCCTAAGCACCCTAGGCCAAACGCACAAAAGCACATGCACCCCTGCACATATATATGTATATACATACTTACACATGTTCCAGAAGTCATGGGTTCACACCAACACATCCGACTCCAGCCCATCCCCACAAGGTAATTTCTTGTTTTGCCCCTTCCACATTTGCATGTGTTGTCTTCCACATCCCCTCCTCTGCTCAGTCCTGTACTACATCTGAAATTGGTTTTAGAATTGCTGCATGCATTCCATGATGCAAAATAAATCTGCCAAAAAAAAGATCTCAGGATTTGTTTGGAATCCACCCCCTCCCACCTTCACCTTATTCTAGTCTTGCCCAGGATTGGGGTATATAATCAAGGCTGTATTCATTGGTTACTTGGCCTTTTTTCTTTTTCTCCCCATTTAGTGCAGTTATGGTATTTGAAATACAGTTGAGCTTATTTATTTCAGTTTTAGGGATTTTTCCTCCTCCCCATCCTCATTGATTTCATATTATTTTATAATATGTAGAATATTAACATGCTTCAAAGTCCAAGCTCTGTAAAAAGGCATGTTCATGAGTCATCATTCCCTGCCTTCAACCTTCCATTCTGTTTCTTCTCACATATGATATGTAACCAGCTTTACTGCTTTCTCCTTAGTTGTGTGTTTGTTTATTTCTTCTAAAGATAAATAGATACTTGTATGTGTTACTGTTTTTCGTTTTTCATTTTTTTCCCAGCACCAGGGTGGCTGCTCTGTATGCTCTTTGGTACTCTGCCTTTCACACTCAGCATTATCTCCTGGAATTCACTCCGTGTCAGTACATAGAAATCTTCCTCATTCTTTCAGATGCATAGGACTCAGTTCTATACTGGTGATGTAATTTATTTAATAATCTCCTAGGCTTGTACATCTAGGCAGTTTCCAATATTTTGAAACCACAAATATTAGCACATGGAGTAAATTGGCTCATATATATATATTTTTTCATATATTTTGTGTATACTTTTCATATATTTGAAGTATATCTTCAGGGTAAATTACTAAAAGTGAGATAGCTGGGCCAGAAGGAAAGTTCATACCCAGAGTTAACCTTGTTTTATCTTACTCCCCACTCGTTATCTAAGCCTTTCAGGCTTGCTCTGGCAATCTCATTCTCACACGTCTTTCTTTTAATGTCTATTCCTCCAGCCTCATTCAGGACCATACCTGTGAAACTACATCAATCCATGAGTTCTCTCTGCTCTTCTTTTCTCTTCATATCACAGTTTGGTCTTCTGGAAGCAGCCTGGGGCAGGAGGAGAAGGGGGTACATGGAGTGGGGTGTAAGACTGAAGGGCAGGAGATGGAACTGGGGACCAAAGGGTTCTGGAAGCTGACCCTGTAGGGGTGCAGAAAGGCAAGGCTCTGTCTGCAGAGCCAAGTGGGGCTCTGGCCCCACTGCGCAGGAGTGCACATAAGGCTGGTGTTCAAGACCGAGAAGTTATCCTAGAGAGAGACAGCTATATTAGTCAGAATGAAGTCAGAGCTAAAATAATCCAGCATAAAGCAGAAGACCAATCCTGGAGACTGAGTTAATTGGCAACCAAGAAAGAGAAGCAGTCACATGGCATGAACACAGGAGTCTGGCACTTCTGCTGGGCTTCCATATGCCGTATCTTGGAGCCTTGGTTGTGAATTCTACTTGAAGGGTGAGGCAGGAAGTCTCTGAGATGTTGTCAACTCCCCACATCAGCCAGGAGTGGTTGGGATGTTTGGATGGAGGTGAGTCTGCCTGTCGGGGGGTGTCAGTGAGAAATTGTAGAATTCAGAGGCTGAGGCTGCTTCATCCTGTCTTTCCTGAAAACAACAACTGCATACACAGCGCTAAGTCGCACCTTACTTCCAAACCATGAAAGGCTCCAGCATATTCCAACAGATGAATTCTAAGAGCTTTAGCCAATATCGTGACCCTCTACTATCTGCCTTCAACCGACTCTTCTCTCCAAACTCAAGCCAGAGTCTTCACTGTTCTTTAATTGTCCATCCTGTTCCTTCGCCTGGGCTCTTGCCCCAACATTGCGATTCTTTTCTCCATCTCCATTTGTTGAAATCCTAGCCGGCTCCAGAACTGTGCCTTTCCTCCTCCCACACCCAGACTGAGATTTATGCTTTCTACAGAGCATTTGTCACAAATCTGTTGCCAATGCCTTTGCATCATCTGGTTTCATATATATATGTAAAAATTATCGATCATCTAGCTCTTTCTTCTGGCCTATGATTTACTTAGTTTTAATTTTAATCATCTGATTCTCACCTACAGCATCTAGCACTTGCCCATTAATAGAATAGGCAGCAAGAAACTTCAGTGAATGGGTTTGCAGATGGTTCAAAGACAGCATGAATAAATGTGAAAATGTAAAGGAAGAGCGATAATTAGAGTAAAAAATGAGATGAGACAATACCATGAATTATAGTATTAGATTTGAAATGGACTTTGATAAATTGAAATAGTTTTTAGGAAAAAAAAACACAAGAAAATGAAGTTTAATAAGAGTAAAATTCACATGAGTATTCTCAAGGAAGAAAAATAATAAGCTCAAATTCTACAAAATCACATTAATATGTGAGTGTGAGAGGAAAAACTCTTACAGATAATAGCAAATCACAAAGACCTGGGTAACAGAATGGCGTCGAGGGTATGAAAACAGGACATTGTGAGCCCGAGAGTATGAAGTGAATCTGGAGAAAATGTCCGGGAGTGTGACTTCTCTCCCTGATATCTCATAGGAGAAGAACCCAAAGGTCTCTGAAAGCCTACCGTGTACTAGATACACAAGCATTTTTAGAAAGATGCTGAGAACTGTAGCTCTGTGAAGTAGAAATTATTTGCAGATTAGGAATCTGAGAGTTAGAGATAAAAGTACTGACCTCAAAAATATGTAGCTAGTTGGGATTAAAACCTGGATTTGGCTACAAATGTACCTTACTCTTCAATCTGTGCCCTTTCAAATACACCTCAAACAGAATCGCCCACATCCAGTAGCTCCACTCAAATGTCAGTATCTTTGATTCCTTCCTGTCTTTACTCCTCATCCTAAGCACTCTATTCTTTGTCCTGAAAATAATCCAGGTGTATTTGCTTCTTTCTACAGCCGGTGTCGTTACCCTGGTCAGCCTCGGCCTTCTCTCCTTCAAATATAATAACATTTCCTCATGTCCGCTTTTGCCTCATTTCTGCTCATTTGCCATATGACAACCAGAGTAATTTGGTAAAAATGTGCACCGGGTCACGTGACTCTCTTGCTGAAAATGTATCTCTATGGCTCCCTGTTATTCTTGGGTTAAAGTTGTCCATCCTTTATGTGACCTTTTAGGCTTCTGTAAACTGCATGTTCAGCTCCTTATTCATTTATTACCACTTTCTGCATTATTTCTATATGCTATCCCTCTTTGATTTTTTTCTCTTATTTCCTCTCTTTCTACAGAGCCCTTATTGCTGCTCTTGCTGGGGCTGGGCCTCTGCCATCTCACTTATCTTGGCTGTTACTTCTGCTTGGCCTACAGCTCTCAGCTTAGGGGCTACTTTCCCAGAGACTCTATCTCTGACCCCCAGGTCCCAGTTAAATCCTCTCTGTGCGCTTCTGCAACACTTTGCATTCCTCCATCTATTTTATCACATTGGCTTTTACTCATATAAAACTCTAAGTGGGAGATGGTGGCTGACTTGATCGCTGTTGCACTTCCAGAATCTAGAATAGCATCTGGTGAACGGTAAAGTCCCAAGTACATACATGTTGATCACTGTAATGATCAGTTAAAAATTGAAAGTACATATTAAAAAAGAAGTTCCTCAAGTGGACCTCTCAATATCATTAGAATGCTGTTGTGCTGTCAGTGAAATCACTCCTGGGGGTTGCAGCCCAGTCCTCACACTTGGCCAAGTGTATGGCGTGTGAGAGGCCAGATGACTGCCAGGCCTCTGTGGTCACTGTGAGCTGCCCTGGGGTTCTGGCAAGGCCCCAGGACTCTATGCTTAAGAAAACCCACTCTGATCCATTGTCATAGGACATATTTATCAGTCTAACACTGTGGAGATGAAATTATTAGGGACACCTAAGATTTTAATTTATGCATTTGCTAATGAATTCCACAAATATTTATTATATAAATAGTATGCTCAAATATTGTGCAAAGCTTTAAGTAAATACTGGTGAGGAAGATAAGCAAGGTTAGTTCCCTTATAAAGCTTAGGATTTTCTGCCTTACTTCACTTCAAATTCAGGTATAATTGGAAGATACTCATTCATGCTTTGGATGGATGGACATGGATAAGGTAGCTGTGTACTTGGGGAGATCAAATTTACATTCATGGAATTATTAGAGGTCAATCATAGTGGCTATGTGGTATGAAAAATAATTGCTGTACTTAAAATAATCTCGAGACAGAATTCTGTTATCTAGCTCATCATACCCACAGTGATACATGATTAGAATATTAAACTGCTTTAAATTGTCTATATCCTTGAAAGCAATAGGTTAAAAACTCATTATCATATCCATTATTATATGCATTTAACAAATAATTTTTGCTTTGTTTTGATGGTGCAGGTACATGTCACTGTGGCAGGTGTAAGTGTGATAATTCAGATGGAAATGGACTTGTTTATGGTAAATTTTGTGAGTGTGATGATAGAGAATGCATAGATGATGAAACGGAAGAGATATGTGGAGGTATGTATACTAACTGCAGAAATTAATATAAGTACTTGATTGTTTTTTTACTTGTTTCATTGCACTTTTATCCCTCCATAAAATTTCTACACTGTTCATTAATTTAATCTGAACCTGTGTTTGGAAAACACTTCACATGAAGAGAGGTAGACCAAAACATTCAGAGTAACTGGTACTTCTTAGATGCAAAATCAGATTGTTCCTGGTGGAGAGCCAGGTTGTCATGGCAATAGCCAGCTGAAGTTGGCTGAAGTTAGTTCTAGTTGGACTAGTTCTGAAGTTGTCCTAGTTGGACTCCATCTTCTCTCTCACCTTTGTCACTTTTATTCGTCCCTTTTTCCTCAATCTCTCAATTGCATGTTCTACTTTCATTCTCTTTCCCTTTCAAAACCATTGCCTTTAAATGGTCTGTGTCCAACTGGGGACATTAAAGGCCAATAGAATTATTAGCCTAGAATCCATCCTTCCCACCACATACTTGGATAACATTTATCATGGCCCTTATGTGCCACCATTCCCCAGTCCATTTTCCTGTTGCACCAGCTCTAGCATGTGCCAGGCTTACTGGTGCCAAGCATTGCTGTAAGTACTTTGTGGGCATTAGACAGCCTACCCAGGTCATTCCAGCATTTATAGTGGAATTTAGACTCATGTCTGGCTGACACCAGAGACTGTGCTCTTGACTGTTCACCGTGGAGAAGTGCCCCAGTGCCCTGGAGTTTGGAGCTCCACGATGAGAGCCCATGTCACCCCCTTACCTATGGGCAAGCCTCTCCCAGTCTCTGTTTGCAGCGGTGGCTGGCCCAGGGGAGGGAATTGGAGAGCGGCCAGAATCCCCTAAGTCTCGGTAAACTCTTCTCAGCTGTTTTAAATGTTTTACCCTGAGAAATGGCCTCATATTTCTGTCGGTAAACAATTGCTTATTTCGTTAATCTCTGACAAGATTCTAATTCATGGAACCGTATCTTGCACATGGAATGGGTAATTTCAGAAGAGTATTTTCCTTGGAAATATCAGGGGTAAATGGGGCCAGGAGGAACCAGAGGGCCATAGAGAAAGTGTCACCACCATAGACGAGCTGTCCCTTTGTCACAAAAACAAGTTGTCGTTTCAGCTCCTGGGCCGTCCCGATACCCTCTTCTCCTTCTGCTTGGTACTTTGCCTATGGTTCCCTTGCTGTACAATCCACCAGGATAAAACAAACACAAAAACCTTCATTTTTCAAGCCAGTGACCTAAGCTAGATGCTGCTCAGATAATTCTGCTGAAGGGCTCAGTCCAAAATGATTAGAACAATTAGATAAATCCACCCACAAATATTATGTATTTGTCCTCCTGATGTTTCATTTCCAATTAACGGAGATCAAAAAAGAGGAAGGACACTGGGCCAGTGTATCCTATGCACACTTCCCAAAGCAAAGTCTGTTTGCATGTGTAAGTAGAGACATTTAACTTGAAACACACAATAGGAGATGTTTAATTCTCACCCTTTCCACCTATTATTTCCACTTGTTTGAGGCTTAAGCAATTTCTTGGTGCAAAGCCTCTGCCCGCAGACACTAGAACCCCAGGAAACGTCCTGGGGAAAGGGGGTGACATTGACCAGGATTGTATGTCTTCCTATGAGTCATTCATATGGAACCAGTCTGTTGAGAAGTGATTCTGTCGCCCAAAAGGGAAGCAATCCAAAAGGAGATACTCTTGCTCCATCAGTTCACACAAAGCAAAGTATGTTGTTTATTGTCTGGAATGTGTACTGTCCTGAGGCTTATATTTTAATTATCTAATATCTTGGTATAATATTTTCATTTGGGTTGTGAGGATATGTGCTTAATTTTCCATATCTGCATGCCAGTAGAGTGTTACATGATTTTTCTTCCCTACTCACCTCTCTCTCGACTTAATACTGAATCAATGTTTCAATACTCAACCCTAATTCAATACTGAATTTAAAAAAATAGACAATTTGGGTGTGGAGAATGTAGATTTATGATCATTTGTTACTATCATGGTGATCTTTACCTAGATAGCAACTAGCATTAATTTCTTGAAATTGCAGAGGAAATAAATTCTTGAAGTTTCCTGAAACTTCAGGAAATCAATTCTAGCTAAAGAAGTTAATTAAGTCTTAAAAAAATACCCTGACTCCTAGGAAAAGGTTTCAGGACACAGTTGTCTTGCTTTTTTCTAGGGTAATCCTCACATTCCCGAGGCTTGTGATACAGTGCTGGAGTGTGATATTTTGTTTGAGTGTGATATTTTGTTTGTGTGTGCATGTAGGGATATTTTTAAGTTCATAAATAAACTCTACAGCTTTTATATTTTATTATTGATGAAATCATTTGATAACAAATTAAAATTAAAATTTGTTGTAGGGATGATCACTGTCTCTTGGGTGGGGGAGAGGTCTTGTGTGGGCACTCCGAAACAGCACAGTTAGGCAGAAAACATGGCATTATGTGATTGGGTTGCTGCCTCTCACTCTGTATCTCATTACAGCGCGCTGTTGTCTTCAGCAGTTGCGCTACTCTCTTTGTCCCTCTGATGAATGACTGCTTGAAGGAAGTCTCATCTCATGGACAAGAATAGGATAGGAGGCCAGAATATTCTATTGTATTTCCACCTTTTTATGTTGAGTTTCACAGGCCCTACAGATGCCATTACCATTGGCCAGAAATGCCATAGGGTTTAAAAAGAAAAATAGCCTCACGATTTCCTGTGGGCCCTCTGGGATTGTGGCTGTGGGAGAAGGAAGGGGGAAGAACAAAACCATTAGCCATGGACTCTGGTAAAACGTACATTCCTACAAAACAGAAAGAAAAGACCATAAAACAAAACCCAGCATGACCCTGGTTTTCATCATATGTACAAGAATAAGAACGTACAGACATTTGCGGTTGGGTGGCACCTGCAGAAGGGGAGGGTGTGCTTTTGAGGTAGCTAGAATGGCCGGCCATCTTTCGGGAATTTGCTAGCTAAAGATGCAGGAAGGGAAGGGGGAACAGTTCATTGCAGGCTGCTTGGACGTAAGTACAAATGAGCCACGTACTGATTTCACGAGCGGTGGGAGCTGAAGGGGTGTCGTGGCTTCTGGACACAAAACAATGGCGTGCCCTTATTTATCATCTGTGTCCCCTTGACAAATAGGAGAGGGATTTGATTGTGAGACCAAAGATCCATAATGGTTTATTGGTCTAAATGAGCACTAAACACTGATTTAGCTGAAAACCTTTTTCTGCATGGTGGAACACAACAGCTTGTAGGACACAGTTGAGTGGAAAGATGAAATATTTTCTCTGGTTTATGAAATGGTTGCATCATTTATAATGTGCATCCAAGTGAATATGCACTATTGGTTCCTTAATAGTTGATTTCAAATGAAATACTTTAATAACTAATTCAAGAGATTCCCTTAGAGTGAATGCTTGCATACATCTGAGTTTGATGCATACATTTGAGTTTGCAAGGTAATAGACTCCCACAGTCTTTTGGGTCATTCCTTGAAAATTCTTTCATTTTAATCAGCTACCTGGCTAAGATAACTTAGAGGATAGCTTGCTTTATGTGTATAATTATGAAGGTATAGGCACAACTATGATGTTTTGGGGGCAAACTATATAATTTGATTATTTTAAGCAAGGACTGTGGAGCGGGTATATTATTTCCAAAGGCAAAAATGATCACAAAGAGAAAGTTAATTTTGCGTTTTAAAGTTGCTTTTTCCCTCACTGTGTAAAATTCGTTTTGGGTAAAGGCCATGGAAAGTGTTACTGTGGAAACTGTTACTGCGAGGCTGGTTGGCATGGAGATAAATGTGAATTCCAGTGCGATATCACCCCCTGGGAGAGCAAGAGGAGATGCACGTCTCCAGACGGCAGAATCTGCAGTAGCAGAGGTGTGTCATTCATACACGTGTGTCATTCATACACGTCACTACACAATTGGGAGGAAAACAAAGCTCTTCATTGCTAACACTTTCTTCTCTGCATTTCCTTCAGGGTGGGAGGAAGTCGCCTTTTATAGTGTTTGACTTTGATGAAATCAACATTTACTATCTGAACAATCTTCTCTTTCTTATTTTTTATTGAGTGGGAAGCAGAAAGATAAGCTTCACTGAACAAATAGTTAACATACGGACTGTAATTTCTTTGGCGGCTGTCCAGAAATAGCACAGTACAGCTAAAAGGCAATTCTTATATATACTTCTGTTACATGTCTCTTGACTAACAAAACTGTCTCCATCATGAGCATCTAATTATCCAGAGAGCATTAAAAAAAACTCTCTTGTCTTAATTATGAGTAAATTGAAAGCTTGGTTGCCATACAGAATTGATAGAAGTCATTTAACTTTTATATGCAATAATAAAAAATGTGATAGTGAACACAGAAAATATAGAAGAAAGTGTGTATCAAATAGCCATATGAAATTCAAACTGACTTTAAACATGAATTTTAAAGATGTATTAGTATGGCTAAGGTATGATAGTGTGCGCTCTTGATGTCAAATCAGTTTTAAACACTTCTAACAAATCCTTGAAAATACTTGTTTATGCATAGAGAAAGGAATATTCTTGCCACATTTTCACCTCTGCCAATATGACATCCCAGATAATTGTGACTCAGTGTTGTTTTAGTTTTTCCCACCCTTGTCCCTTAGCAATAGTAGTTTGACTGGTAAATATGTTTCATTTTTATTAATCATTGTTACTTCTTTACAAAAGTTCCCATTGCTGTTCTTTGACTGTATCTATTTTGCTTTAAGCATATTTGTCCTTTAAATGTCCTTTAAATATTGTTTATATTTGTGAAATGGCTTTTTGTCTTGTGTGTGTGTGTACATACATATATATATATGTGTATGTACACACACACATGTATGACTATCTGCTCCAGCTTTTTTAGTCTTTAGTGTTTTGCTCCCAACCAAAGTTTTAGACTTTTTTTGTAGGTAAATATTTCTTTTTCCTTTCAGTTATTTGTTTTAGGGATTTTGAATAGAAAGGATTTATTTTATATTTAATGGTTTTATATTCTTAAATCCTGTGTCTAACTGGAGTCTACTTTGTTGTAAGACATCAGAAGGGGGTTTAACTTTACTTTTCCCCCAAATGATTAGCCGTTTGCCCTCCAGATGATTATTGATAATCCACACAAAGTAAATATGATCTACAACTGAACACTTATCCTATGCAAATCTCCAAATGACCAAAGTTATAGTTTCTACTTGTTCCCCAGCATCCTCTAAACCTGAGCTCATCCGCTCTAGCAAATGTTATTCTGCGTCTTCCTTAACATTCACTTTCTGTTCCAGTGACACAGAACTCCCAAGATCCTTCTTTGCTTCTTGCTTTCTTGACTTTCCTTGAATCGTTCTACCTAACAACCAGTCCTAGAACATTTCTCCTGCGCTCTGCATCATCTACCCTAATTACATCAGCCCACATTGATTTCCCCTTCTTCAACCTCTTATAAGAGTTTTCTCCTAGTTTACAAAACATTAAAATCATACTTGTATTGCTTGGTCACTTTCTTTCACTAGCTTCTTTTTTTTTTGTCAAATAGATAGTAAACTTCCTGAAGCAAAAGGATTATATCTTATGTTAATCATGTTTTACTGTTTTCGAGAGAAACCACTATAGTGCTAACGATACATCCCACAATCTCACATAATCAGAGACTTAGATAATAAGTTTTGTTTATTAAAGAAGCTCTACTTTACATGATGTTCTACCTTTGTAGAATTTTTTTTCTGAACATGTGTATTTTCCAAATAAAAATAAGCAACAGTTTAAAAAGTAATTTGTAAGGTGCTTTCTTTCATGATTTTTCTTCACCAGAACCATATAAAAGAAAATCCTTTCTCCCCCCTCTAGGGACTTGTGTGTGCGGTGAGTGTTCCTGCCACGACGTCGACCCCACTGGAGACTGGGGAGACATTCATGGGGACACCTGTGAGTGTGACGAGAGGGACTGTCGAGCTGTCTATGACAGATACTCCGATGACTTCTGTTCAGGTACACACTTTCCTGATTCCTACTTTTAAATGAAAATATTCAATTTCGTCTTTTCAGGATTCATTCTGATTCTCGCAGAAACTGTAAAAGAACTGGAGGTGCATTCAAAAGCATCTGATATTCACAGCGCTCCTACCAGGAACTTGGAAGACCTTCAGAGAATTTACACAAGAGATGGAAGTCTCACTCCTTAAAATCAGTCTAACTCCTCACCCAGGAGAACCATTGCCTCCAGATACCTATCACTCAACCCTGACAATCCCCAACTAGCAGACCAGATGACAACGTGCACGATAGGCACCATTACTGATGTGTACTCAACTCTGGATAATATGGTTCTCATGGCATCTTAGTACGTTAATTCTTGGTTTAATGTATATACTAAAATGATTCTGTGAATTAGTCTAGGATTCAATATCAATTAGTGGATTAGAAATTGTATTCCATAAATATTTATGGAGCAGATACTATGGCATCTGGGCTACTGGCTCCAGGTATGACGGAGGTAAACATGATCTTTGGCTTCACAGAGCTTGCAACCTAAGTGCAAAGGAAGAAATACCCTGCCTGAATTTCTAATGGTGCAAAGGAAAAAAGAAAGCAGTTAGATTGATCTGAGAATGTGTCATTTAGCAAAAATGGAATGATGGATTTTCAGTGCAGCTGTAGTTGACAATCCATAAAGCAGAGACATATGCATTTTCATCTTTTTAAGCTTACTGCTGGATTGGTCTTTGCAGACAGATCGGAAACTCCACTGGTCTCCTGGGAGTTTGCCAGCAAAGGGAGATGGAAGGGCTGCCCTACTTAATCTCATATTGTAAAGAGTTCTCTGGCCCAGCTGAGGGGAGCAGCTGCCACAGCTTCACTGCACAAGGACTTCCCTTTCCTAATTATCCTTCATACTCTGGAGAATTTCTTGAATGCTTTGTGAACACCATTCTGTTGAGGGGATGCCCTTTTCAGAGTTTTGTATTATTAGATATTTGTGTTCTTTGTTATCATTGTCAATACAGTGGTAATAAAACAGTTGACAATTATTGAGTGACTCTGTATGCCAGACACTGTGCTAAGCACTTTCCAGATTGTTCCAGACTTTACTCTTCATAAAAATCTATGAGGTAGGGAATATATTTATTTTCATTTTATAATTGGGGAAACTGAGGCTTGGGAAAATTCCATAACTTGCTAAGAGGTAGAATGGAAGTGTTAATGAAGTCTAGGAATGGAAGAAATTTAGATTCTTTCTTTCCTCAAATGTTTGTTTAAACTTCAATTTAATATAACAAACGTTTATTGAGCACCAACTATGCTAGAGGCACTGTGAGAGATATTTGATAAGGGCATACAAATATTTTAAAAATCGTGCATTGTACCCAAGAAATGTACTACTTAGCAAAGAAAACTGCCACACAAACATAAAATTTTAATAAACCGTGGTATGGGAGGTGAGTATATTCATGAATTTGTTACTTATCTCACCACAATACTGGGGACACAGCAATGAATGAAACAGATGAAATCCCTCCTGTCATGGAATTACATCCCAGTGTGCCTGGACAGGCAACAGACGAATGAGTAAGCAAAGTGTACAGTAAGCCTGTGCTGTGTTTTTCTCATGGGTAAAATGAGGAGGGGAGGAACAGGGAGGTGTGGGCTTGTTTGACACTTTGATTTGGGTGATAGGGCTGTGGGTGTGGTGGTGGGTGGCTCCTGCACTGCACGCTGCTCTCAGGTCAGCAGCACACACAGGTGTGCCCTAAAGGCAGACTTGCAGGTGAACGGATGAGGACTGCATCTCGGGCAGAAGGAATAGAGGCACGTGATCTTTGCAGGGGACTGGAATCAGATTAGTTATTACTGGAATGTATAAACAGCCGAAGGTCAAGTTAGTGAGAAACAAGAGCTGGAGGTAGTATTTCACTGCAGCACAGGCTCTGTCCTGGCGGCAGGGGCGCTAGCGACTGTTTCAGGAGCGGAGTGCCACAGTCGCAGGCCTCTCGTCTGGTTGTCTGGGTCCTTGTGGGTGCCATTTACCGAAATGGGGAATATAGAGGGACGTTGTGAAATTCATTTCCACACATACTGAACAAAAAGGACCAGTGACAACCCAGAGTTGCTATTTTTTTTCAGCCTGTTGAATAGGTGAGTCTAAAGAATCAGGGCTGAACATGAGCAGTTAGTCACCAGCATGGAGTTGGCAATGAAAACGAATCTGGGGTTCAGGGAATGCTATTTATTAATGGCATTTTAAGATTGTGAGGCAAAGTATGAATTAATACAACTTAAAATAAGAAAATAAAAGATAGTCATTCGGCTATATATAAAAATGATGTTTATGATTTTCTGATAGAATGCTTTAAAAAAAATAGGTATATTCTTCTTTGTTAAGATCTTCATCCTGATTTTGGAGTGGGGTTGAAAAAATGCAAAACGCCTCCATAATAGGGATAATTCAGGGTCATGTGTGCTGATCTGTGTCACAGGAGAGGCCAGGACTGTGGGGTGGAGGTGGGCAGTGGCACGCAGTTGACCCTTCAGTCGTATAAGCTCCCAGTCCCTCTTGCCTGTAACTTAGGTTTTGAGGCACTACTGCAGATCGGGTAGGTGAAGGTCATTAGAAGCCCCCCATTGGAATCTGAATTGTCCACCTCACCTCTTCCTTCCCTTCTGCCCTGCTCTCTACTCCTCCGTGTCCCCCAAGACTGCAGAGCAAGTGAAGCAATCAGGTGGTTCCCTGCTGTGCGGTCGGTGGGGTTTCTCATGGCAGGAACTTAGGAGAGCGTGCTTATCCCTTTATATGCGCTCTCCATTCTTTGGATGTAGACGGGTAGGCTGGGGGAAGGGAGAAGGTAAGAGGCTGTGTTTGAATCAGAGAACATTAGTCTAATTGTGATTTATTTTTTATCCATTTGTGGAGGTGAACTTCATGTAGCCAGTGCCCCACAGCCATCCACACTTAAAATGAGGAATTTAGGAAAGAAGAAACTTACTAACAGAGACCTCACTCCTTCTAAGTTGTTTTTCACATCTCATCCCGTTTGTGTTCACACCCAGAGAGGGAGACATTATTATCTACATTTTAACAGGAGAGCAAACAGGTGCAGAGAAATGAAGTAACTTGACAAAGTTCACACTGCCACTGAGTGTCATCTGAAAACACATACGGCCTAAGTACTCATGTAATTTAATTTCCAGGTGATGCAAATTAAATTCTTCAATTTTACTTTATTTTTGTAAGGAAGATCTGTCCTCTGGGTGCTCAAAATTCTTATAAAACTAAGCTTCTCAGAACATAATTATGATGTGGGGTAGGTATCAATCTCTGGAGTGTTTCTTCATTCTTAGCTAGATCTATAAATTTCTAAATATTATGTATAAGGAATTATTAGTCTTCACAGGTTTCCTAATTGCCAGCCTAACTTGTGCCATAGGAAGGGTACGTACAGTTGATTATTGAGTGGGTTGATGCCTTTGCGTTATGGAGCCCAACTGTGTCAGTTTTCTCTAGTGGTTCATGCTGGGCTGGAATGTAATAAGGCTCAGATGAAATGCAGCTTTATTTTTAGCTCCCATTCTTGCCATTCTGAGGGTGTCATGCTTATTTAAGCCTAAGGGAAATCTCCTAAATGGGTTAATTTACATTGGCTCTTTCAATGACTTTTTATCTTATTCATTCATTCCCATTCTACCCATTCTTGTATTTAACAATGCACTTAAATGTAAATATTTTGTGTCTATTACATCATGGGTACAGAAGATACAAATATTTTAAAACAGGCTCCTGGCTAAATTAATCAGTTGTATCTATTTCCTCTTTCATTCCTGTCTGTTGTTCACCATCCACATGGTGTGTGTGTGTGTTTATGGGCATGAATTCATACACACACACACACACACACACACACACACACACTCAAAGATGATACTATCGATAGCATTGCAGTGTGACAAGAATGACCAGGACCTGACCAGCCATTCTGAAAGTACCAACTGCTATTTGTTAGTTGAGTCGTATGAGCTTCTCCACTGAATTTACTTCCTGATTCTGAAAGAACTCCTTTATTCCCAATGGCTGCTTCCCACTCTGGTCTATTTCCACAAATCCCATAATTGGAAAAATATGCTGCAGTGTGACCTTGAACTCTCTTTCAGTTTTTCCTTCATATCAAAATGATGAAAATGTAAGGTTAGCCCTGGCTTTAAATTCCATCAGTTTGGAAAATGGAATCATTTGACAGAACTGTATCATATGAGGAAATGTGTCGTTGTGGATTTTCAAGGCATTAAGGAAAGAAACTGAAGGAAATGATTAAGTATATTCAGTTTGCATTGTCTTGAAAGGGAAATCAATATATTGCATGGATTTTTTAAAATAAGTGCTAGTTAGATCTAATGTACTCTCCCCAACTTTTCCTATTGATGATTTTCATATTACTTTGTAAACATCCAATTATAATTCAGGAGCATTTTTGATCATTTGAAGGGAAAGAAATATCCTCTGCAGCAGAAGGCTGTTTGTCCGGAGCGAATGCGACCTGTCTGGGTCTGCTGTCTCTGAGACAGCTTAACTCAAGGCAGTGCAATGGCTCCAAAGGAAGAATAAGTCTTGGTGTCAACAGCCTCTCCTGTAATGGCCCGAGAGAGCCTTCAGGGTCCCTACCTGCCCGGCGTGGGCATGGTGCCCTGCCCTGTGGTACAGACAGGATTGTGATCCCATTTACACACCAGCACTAAATACCATGTTGTTGTGTGTGTGTGTGTGTGTGTGTGTGTGTAATGCATGCTCATTGGTCTTTTGAAAGGAATTCTCTAATGTGTATTCTCATGTTTTCTATCAGGGATAAACATTCTGCACCTTTCATCTCTATTTTGTTGATCCTCTGCCTGCACACTTTACAGGAATACTTGTTAGAAGCAGGGAAATAACACCTGGGAGGCCTGATACACATGTACATAGATGCGACACATGTGCAAGGAAGCAGTAAGGTTCAGATCAGTGTGGAAAATCCCTTCTTTTTAGTTCCCTCTCTTTAAGGATGAAGTGAGGTGAGACCCAGAAAGGTGAGCTAGTGACATATGCAGAGGGAAGGCACAGAGCTCCTAATTCCTCCTTTTATGGCTCTTTCACTACTTATTTACAAAAACCCATGATATAATATGTTACAGCAGTCAAAAAATTTTCATGCTAAATAGATCTTGTCATTTCTAAACTCTTTGTATAACAAAACCAAGCATTTTCATCTTAGTCATTTTATCCCTATAAAATGATTGCTTTTCTCCCTTTTTGGCATAACTTTTATGCCGAAGTTGAAAAACTAGTAACTCCAGAGAGAAATTTCAATTTCATTTTATGGTTTCCTGTCTTCTCCAAAAGACTTAGTGCCTGTTTCAGAACCCGGTATCAATACCTTGCATTGTTACGTGATTTCCTAACTCCACCAATGAAATAACTAAGGATTTTATAGAAAAGGTACAGTACCATTTAAAGGGGGATCCATAACATTCTGAAATATATCTTGGAAGCACATAACTTTGAGTTAGTTATTGAAGGATGTAGGATATAATTCTCATTTCTGTGAAAGTAACAGTTAAATTTCTGTTTTAACTTGTCAATCTCTGTCAATACTATTTTTCATCTATTATAGTAGAATTATTCAAACCTTTCTCTATTATTTTTACATTTTCTTCTTCTGTGCTTTTCATGGGGACATTTGATTTAGACACTCTACTTTCCCAAAACAGTGAAACCTTCAGCAAACATCTTGTGTGCCACTTTCATCATCTAAACTGGTTGCCATGTATTCACTGACTCTCAGAAGTTCATTCATTGTGGATGATTTACAAGATCACCCATATCTTAAAAACCCTTCTTTCTTCAGTGTGAACTTCTCCAAATGATGTTGAGTGCCGATGGCCAAGTGTAGGAGACTTCTAAGTGGATGACTGAGGGGAAGGAGTGGCTGCTGTGAACTAGATAATGTTCCCTCACTTCGATACTTTTCTATTTAGAGGCAAAGCCTTGTCCTAAAGCTAGTGGCAACAGTGACCTGTGTTATCAGTCCACCCCGGTGTGTGAGATGTCAGCTGCAGTGGGTTGTTGAGAGGGCTTTGATGGGTGAAGGCTGAGGCTGAGGCAGAAAGCACAGGAACTTTGGTACCAGCACGCACATGGTGAAAGTGCAGACACATTGCATGTGTTCTTCCCAACTTTGCTTGGAGTTGGTGCTGCCTGGAGGTAAAGCATAAATTTGTAGGAGTCGTCCTTGGGAATGTTCCTGATGCTGCATTAAATGCACAGGAAGTAAGAGACCTTAGATAAACAGCAACTTTGAAACAGACTTTAACAGTTAAAGTACAGTTAATTCGCTGTTTTTTTGGAGTGAATGGCTTTGAAATTCTTGGAGACAGGTGGTTTCATCTCAAGGACCATTAGATGAGCCACAGCATACTGGACAGAGCACAGAACATGCTGTCAAGTGGCGGACGATGAGTTGGTACTTGGCTTCGTTTCCTCCTCTGATTGTACTAGAGCATAGAAACAGCAAAGGGATAGAGAAACAAAGCTACAGTAACAGCAGAACATTACTGCTGGAAAGCAAAGAGACTAAGAAGGGAGTGAGGAAATAGTATGATAGGAAACCGGAAAGTGAACATGGGGCATAAAGTTAAAAAAGCCTTTCAGAGATTTTGACTTTTAGATCTAGAGCAACTTGCATTCCTTTTTTCAAAAATTGTTAAGGCATCCACAATTCATCTGACTTCTTTTGATATTAATTGGGCCAGATTTTCTCTCTAAAAAATCTCTTAAAATGCTTCTGATCATTTTCATGGATTTGTTTTATTCCAGCACACATTTTTTGAATGTTGACATGTGAATGAACCTCAAACAGAAAGTGCTCTCTGCTCCTAAGCCTATGTTTCAGCTGCAGCATCTGAGCACACTCTGCCCCTCAGCCAGGGGCCTCCCTCTGCCTGGATTCCTGCTCCATCCGGGGCCCTCCCACTGGCTGTGCTGCCGCCTGTGACCTCTGGCAACTGCAGCAGGGGGCGCCCCCAGGCCACTTGGGATTGCCTGGCATCCTTGCCTCCTGGATGATTTCTTCTTTGACAGGCTATTTAAATTCCCAGGAGGAAAGCTTTTCCCCCTTCTCATCTGTTATTGTTGAAGTATCAACTTATCTTCCACAAAGACAGTATGTTCTGTACTCTGTCCAGTATGCTTGTGGCAGATCTCACTGTCCTTGAGATGAAACCACTTGTCTCCATGAATTTCAAAGCCACTAACTCCTGTAAGACAGCAGAATTACCTGTACTTCAAATGTTGAAATCTGTTTTAAAGTTGCTATTTATCTGTGCATTTTCAATGCAGCTCTATTTGCAAATTTTGCTCTAAATTTTGAGGGTGGGAAAAAGGGAAGGAACCTCCTCAGCTGGGATAAATGGCAAAAAGCCACAGAATCCAAAAACCTCTGAAAATGTAACTAATATAAATATAGCTAATAAGTTAAACTACTCTAATAAAAATTCTTATATTTGAAGGTCTAAATGATCATATTCACATATCATATTTTTATTACATGTCACATTTGATCACATATTGCATATATTAGCAATTCTAAGTTTCTTTTCCTTTAAAATGCTGAGCTGTGAAGCAGTGTTAATGATAATGGTTTACTGTTAAGACTGTTACATTGCAGGTGCTTAATAAAACCGTGTTGAATTGAAGTTAGTAGTAAGTGGGAGATTTGGATTCCTTAATATCTCACTCTACTTTTACCTATGATTTAATGAGTTATTCCATGAAGATCCAGGTTAATAGAAGGTGCTATCATCCAATTCTTCAAACTCAAAATATAGACATCTGTCCTCAAACTCATGGAATATAGATAAAACAGGCCAATCTTCACTGAAGGCCAATTTCCATGTTGTATGATATATATTAATATCAGATGCCAAAGACAAAATAGTGTGTACGTTCATTCATTAGCATTGTGCTGGACTTACTTATAAAGTGTAATTCCACTTCCTTTAATATTCCTCAGGCATTTTTACAGCAATCAGAAATCCACTTTATTTTGCATCCGTAATACTGTGTATCTGATTGTTCATTAGGGGTCAGGGAAAGTTCAGCTAAGTCATCTTGTTTTCCTTTTTATTTCTACTTGGTGACTTAAGTGGGCTCAATGAATAAAAATAACAATAGCTCAATTTTATATAGTATTTTAAGCATGTATTATGTGCTTCCTGATAATATATTATTATCCTGTTTAAGAATGAAGAAACTAAGTTGCAAAGAGATTGACCTTTGACCCGCCCTGCTCTGTAAACAGCGGGCTCAGAACTTGAACCCATTTATTGGATTGATACCGTAGGATGTTTTTACTCTACCATACCACTACTCGGCTCAGTTCTTTACAGGCTTTGTATCCATGTATAAATAAATTTAATCTTTCCTGACCTCTGTAGTGTATGCTAAATGCATCTTCAAGGAACGTGAACTCCACACAAGTTGCTGGTTTCAGACTGAGTGTTTCTGGTTAACCATGTAGTATGTAGTTAGTAAAAAAGTAATGAAAATTCAGTGTGGGGGATTCCAGAAGAGATTCCAACAGAGATCCTGTTTCTAAACCAAATTGTCTTCCCTTTCCTATGGCTGTCCTCCACGTAAATGACTTGCCAAATCCATCAAATACTCCATTTGGGCCCCAGCAGACAATATGATCACAGGCAGCTGGGTTTCTATAGAGTCACAATGAGGGCCCCATGACCCTGTTTTTTATCTGGAGTTGTTGCTTTTCTATACTGTTCATGGTAGATCGGTTTACATCAGGTATTCAAGAGCCTGAGAAAAATATGCCTTTGCCTCAATGTTTTACATGGTGTTATTAAGATTCTGACTCATTTGTGACATTCGCTGTTGAGAAGAAAACGAATTCTGACTTCATCATATATTTTCTCATATTTTTTTACTACGCTCATTGTGAAGGTCATGGGCAATGTAATTGTGGAAGATGCGACTGCAGAGCAGGCTGGTATGGAAAGAAGTGTGAGCACCCACGTTCCTGCCCGCTGTCGGCCGAGGAGAGCTTCAGGAAGTGCCAAGGCAGGGGTGCTCTGCCCTGCTCTGGAAGGGGTAAGTGAGGGCTCACGGGCCTCACCGCTGTGTCCTAACCCTCTGGGTCAAATGTACGCAGTTCGCATGCATCTTACGTAACAGACCGCTGAGATCCCTACACGAGGAGGGACTTGAGTCTTCTCGGAACTAATAATACACCCAACTGCCATGAGTGGAAGTACATGGGAATATGCAGTCTCCTCTCTCCCTGTCTCCCTCTCACACACACACACACACACACACACACACACACACACACACACGCTCTCTCTCTCTCTCTCTCTCTCTCTCTCTGTCAGTTTAACTTTAAGGTCTGTTTCAATTTCAGTTCAGTTCGATGTTACAGTAAAAAAATAGAGTTTGGATATTTGCTTAAAGCTTTCTGAATGAGACCATCTAATTGTTCACTGACATTTCTGAAACTCAGTAACATTGTGTTGAGGAGATTGTTGGCTTCTGAAAAAGCAGAATGTAAACAGATAGCTCGGAATGAGCTTCTCTTGTTTTAGAGGCAGGGAGCCTCCAGTGGGCTCCTGGTACCAGAACGGTGCAAACTGGCGGAGAAGGAGAATTCATCCAGAGGAGAGCTGGTGCCATTCTTTCTTTCTTATCAGAATAAGAAATTCAATTTCACCTCTCACACGAAAACGGTGAAGTTAATATGAAATATGCTTTCAGAGGAACTGGTAATTGAAGTTATTATAATATTTGTTCATGAAAGAGAGAGAGGAGAAACACTTCCTTTTACTTGAATCTTTGATTGGAAATCTAATTTCATGTTGCTGTTCCAGTTTTGAAAAATGATTTTCTTACTGAGATATAACACAAATACCATACAATTCACCCTTTTAAAATGTACAACTAAGTGGATTTTAATATATTCACAGACTGACCCAACCATCACCCACTATCTCATTCCAGAACACTTTTGCCACCTGTACCCCTTACCACCTGTACCCCTTTACCCTCAACCCTTAGAGAACTTAATCTATTTCCTGTCCCTATGGGTCTATGTATCAGGATACCTCATATACATGGGATCATAAAATATGTGGTCTTTCTGCTTCTAGCCTTCTTCAATTAGTGTAATGTTTTCCAGGTTATAAATAACCTTGTGGCATGCACCTCACTCTTTTTTATGGCTGGATAATACTCATTTGGATAATGCCATACCTCATCTATTTATCCGTTCATCTGTTGGTGGCCATTTGGGAAGTTTGTACTTTCTGGCCATTATGAATCATGTTCTGTGAACATTCACATATAAATCTTTGTGTGGATGTGTGTCTTAATTTTCTTAGGTATATACCTATTAGGGGAGCTGCTGGGTTATATGGTGACTCAATGTTTGACTTTGAGATATTGCAAAACTCTCTAAAGTGGCCACACTTGATATTCCAACTAGCAGTAGGAAGGTTCCAACTTCGTCACATCTTTGCCATTATTTGTTATCATCTGTGTTTTTTATAGAGTTCTTTATGTAGACAACTCCCAAGTCTCCAGGATTATTTGTATCATAGGTATTCTCCTATACTCTTTTATCCCTAATGATTTTGCATAGGATAGGATATGAACAGGAGAAAATTCTTATTTCAGAAAGATTTCTGACTTGCCCCATCTTTCACCAGTAACCTCAAACAGGGACCACTGTTGAAACTGCATTAATACATTGTCTTTATAGTGCTGGAGTAAGCCTTTCATGCTTTTAAAGACTAAAATTTAAAAAGATTAGGATTTAGTATTCCTCAGACTACTGTTACATATTCACTCATTCATTGTGAAAAATAACAAATTACATAATCAGAAACGCATATAAAATATCTCTCAACCATAGAAAAATCACTCTTAAAAAATATATATATATATTTACCAAGGCTTTGTCATTTGTCTCAATTTTTAAATTAGTGCTAGTGCAGGAAACTACTGTGAACTTTATATATCAGTCTCTAATGAACTCTGGCAATCACATATTTGTCTCTTAGCTGTCCAGAGATTCACAAATGTATTTAGCTACCGTTTTTAAGCAATCAAATATACATAAAGTTTATTTCATTAAAAAGGTGTTGTATATACATATAGGATTACAGTATTTTAAATTTTTTATAATTCATATAAGCCTTTTGAAGTGCTTTATAGATAAATAATAAGAGTCTTTAGTTTCCTCAGAGGGAAGTGGAGGTATTGGTGAGTGAAGTGGTTTCCCAGAGAACTGTAACAAAACGTAAAAATTTTGAGACTAAAGACCAGGGGTGCATGAGAGACAGTCTGGTGCTCGGACCAGTGGTCTAAGACTGCCGTCCATCTGCAACCTCACTGGCACTGGGTGTTTTAAAGCAAACGGCCAATATGAAAACTTCTAAGGGATTAGTTTTGTGGTTTATGAAGGACAGCGGCAGCTGTGGTCACCTGTGTGAGGAGAGCCATTACAAGGCCCGTCAGTCCTTGAGCCAGAGTGCCTCAGCAGCCCACCAGCTCGGGCCGAGAAAAGAAAATTCCCCCAGTGGGCTGTACTGCCATTCCTCCGTGCCGTTCTCTTCAAGGGCCCACTGAGACGTTTTTCCACTGGAATTTAAATTAGAATTCTTGCTCTGGCTGGTGATGACTCAGTGTGATCATTGTGTCTTGAAGGCGGGGAAATACATCAGATAAGCTCTTAAATTCTCTAGTAATTCTGTGATTCCTTGATCCCTATTCCTTATTGCCTCTAAGTATCCATATATTTCGTGACTCTCATATAGGCAGTTGGGATATATTGTTATTCATTTTGATTTCTGTCCTGGGGGCTGGGCATGGGGGACAACTTTTTTCTCATAACAGTGTTCTGATCAAAAACTTGAAATGGCTTATGATAGGCTACATGTTAGTTATAAACTTTTGTTGACTTAAAAATATGTTTTTATTATTATTGAGGTTCTCCTCCTGCGATGCACTTGGCTTGGGCCAAAAATGTAGCAAAAGTAATGTGCGTCACTTCCGAGTCAGCTTGAGGGGCAGTGCCGAGATCTGCCCTCTGTCTTTCCCCCCGGCCTGGGGTTTGCAGCGTTCGCCCTGGTGGCTGATTTGGTAGCCTGGGTCTCTGAATGAGGGTGATTAGCAGAAACCCCTGCTGACCCACTGACGACCTGTAACACGAGTGAGAAATACATCTCTGCTGTTTTAGGCAGGGGAGAAATTCAGGTTGTTTGTTATTGCAGCAGAATTCCTGACTCATACTCTCTTCCACATATAAAATTCAAGGAACACAGGTAAACCACAGCAAACCCAATACAAATCATGTTTAAACCCAAAGAGATAAGCAAAAAAAAAAAAATAGTGGAGGTTTACAACTCTGTGTATGTCTTATGAGTATCATTATTTCAATCAAAATGAATATAAACGTGTGTATGTATATATAAAACAGGTGATGAATTGGTTCTATCAACAGTGTTTATGTGCACTTATTTAATAGGTAACATGCTGAGACCATAGAAGGTATTATCTTTTTTAATACCCCTGAAAATACAATGAGGTAGGAAGAAGAATAATGACTCTTCTTTTTGCAGAAAAATAAATAAGAAATTTGAACGGCTTGCCACCTTCCATAGTAAGTGCCAGGGGTGCCAGTTTTAACAAACTTTCCACACAGGCCCTCTAACTGCAGAGCTGCCATTTTAGATGATTTACTGGTACTTTTAACATGCCAATGTGCTGAGCAACATGTAATAAATATATGTCTTTGAAATAAGTATTCTTAGGCAAAATCTTTGATAAGGCTGCATAATATTCCACAATAGGGTTACAGCAAAAGATTTTAATAGATCCTCTTTTAATAGATATCTAAATTGTCTCTTACTTTATTCAAGTTCTGAATATCCTAATTTACATTCTTGCAGCAGGAGATTTGTACAAATCCTTAGTGTTAGCTCCTAGATGGGGAATGCATAGATCCAAATGAATAAGAATATATTAAAACTTTTCAATAAAAAAATTGCCCAAACTACTCATATTCTCTAGAAAAATTGTACCCATATTCCCCCCTACCAGGAGCATAGCAGGGGCTCCTTTACCCACCAGTTGGGACAATTTAAATAACCTGGCAGCTCTTCTCAGTGTATTTTGCTCTTAGTGTTATAAACTTGGCATTTATCAAACTCCTTTCATTGACTTCTGTAATCATCAAAACAAGTGATTTATCTGCAGGCATTATTATTCAGAGGCTTGTGTTTGCAGGGTTTGCCTTCTTCGATCATTCACCCTTGTGTCTAAGTCATCTTATTGTTTAGTTCTGCAATCCCATGTGCTTTTGTTGGCTGTCCTCTGTGCCCTTTGGTTTTCTTTAATCAGACCCATTCTAAGAGGTTATCGCATATGTTTTTTAGTTCTTAAACACACATAACCCCCACAAGGGAAGGTGAGAAGTAGAGGAAGAATGATAAATGGAGGCTAATTATTTAAGAGTGCAGCTTCTAAAAAAGAGAAACGATGTCCTCATTTTTATCAATTAGTATGTTTTAATTAATGAATTAAGCAAGTTGGTTCAATTCCCTTAGCTAGGAACATACTTTCAAAGAGTAATAGCATGCCAGATTATCACCATCTGGAGATTTTTCAGTTTAAGCCATAATTTATCTCTCTCTTTTACTGGCAAAGCACATCTTTAAATTTTTTTGCTATTATTTATCAGAGGAGTTTCCCATAATGCATGTATTTTTTTAACCTGTGTTTTATACTCTGTCACTTTTTGACAACCGAAACTTTTTCTTTATTTTTTAGTTCATGTTTGCTGAGATGTTAATTTGGAAGAGAGAAAAAGTTGAAAAATTTTTTGAAGTCCTCTAAACGTTTTGATAGAGAGATTTTTATCTTTATTAAAAATTTTTTATAGCTTTAGTGAAGTAAAATTGATATACAAAAATAGCATGTATTTAATGTATACAATTTGATGAGTTTGGACATAGGACATATGCACATACTTGTGCCATTGCCACAGTCAAGGAAATACACATACCCATTACCTCCAAGAACGTCCTTGTGTCCCT